CTAATGCTCTTTAAAGTCCTTGCTCATCAATATATAATGGATTTTATTGGTGAAAATCATTCTATGCCAATTAAATGAATAATAGTTGCTGTCTTCCTCGGGTTATTTTGCAAAAATGAAAGGGCATAAAATACAAATTCTGAGAGAGTGCTCAAAGTCATTAAGCAATAATGGGTCTCTAAAAATCCAGTGGTGTTTTTGTCATTGTTGTTGTTAAAGTATAATAATATTTCCTTCAGCACTGTCTCCTCAGTGTTTCCTCATCCTATAGCAAATGTGTTACTAGGGCCTAATTATTGTGATGTGCTGAGTTGTGCTTTATCCATATCTCTAGTTTTTCTCAGATAGGGACTAGGCTTGCTTATGGACTTTATACAATTTACCTCTCACCACATAATCTAATTCTAATTTCTTCCTTAAAAGGAAGGTGCTCAGTTTCTACCCATCTCACTTAGGTTATTATTCTAAAGGCTTACATTCATAGACTCCTTTTCCCTCTTTTTACCTTCTGGAATCAAGCATCCCATCTTCAAATACCCATGACTCAGTAGCACTGCCAGTTTAGAAATATACATTAAACAAATATCAATTAAGCAAGTATGAAATTTTCATTGCTGTTGTAGGTGATTGGAGATTACAGTGCTGGGTAAGATAGATAGGATTCCTGCCCTCAAGGAGTTCGCATCCAATAGGAAGATATATACTAAGGCATATGAAATGTCAATATTATGGAATCACGATAGGCACAGTTCAGGAGTGAGGAGTAATGAACATCGGACAGAGAAGGCTTTCTAGAAAAGATTGTTATCTGAAGGGTGAGTAGGAATAGCTTGTGAAAGAGGAAACAGCACATAAAAACAAAGCCCAGAAAATTGGAATGAGTGTGGAATTTAGAAAGCAGTTAAGTTTATGGTAGGAGTATAGAGTGATAAAAAGAGTGGTGAATGTGGAGTAGAGACAAATCTTTGGCAAATTCTATTAGCCATGGTTTAGTGTTTGGATTTTGTTCTAAGCATCAGAAAGCCACTTGAAGGAAGCTTTTTAGAGGAAGGCTATTTTAGAGTGATTGGTCAGATTTATGGAAATGGCTTGTAGGGGAACAGACCTGCAAACACTTTGGAGGGTAGTATGGTACTTTAGGGAAAGATGATGGTGAACTGAACCAGGGAACTGGCAGTGGTATTGGGGAGAAATGGAAAAATTCAAGAGAGATTCAGAAGGTAGAATAATTAGCACTTAGTACTGTTTCGGATGTGGAAAGTGAAAGACGGAGAAGAGCACTAAAAGTCCTGACTTTGGGCAGGTGGATGGTGCAGTCATTCACTGAGATGGATAACCCAGGAGGAGTAGCTAGTTTAGAGTGGTGAGGGAAAAAAGATTAATTCCCTTTCAAACATGTTGTAAATGTGCTTATGGAAGACATTCAAGGAGGCATGTGTAATGTGCAGCATCACATGAAATGAGAAGGCAGGCACTTGTCTAGTCATTTACCTTCTTGTATGAAGTACTAATTTTAAATCATCACAGGTGTCTGATTGTCTAATATTTAACCTAAAAGGATTGTAAACTTTCTAAGTTTTCTTGTGTCTTCCAGTGTTTCACTGTCCATAGAACCAGAAATCTGCTTTTATTTTTCATTTTGCAAAAAGGAATAAATATTTATTCCCAGGTTATAGTTAAATACTTCAGCTAATTTGATTGCCTGTGCCCTATTCAATTTCACTTTTTTATACAATTGGGTATTTTTTGGAGAATGAAAAATCTTTTTTTGTTTTTTACATATATATATTTATTGAAGTATAGTCAGTTTATAATGTTGTGTCAGTATCTCGTGTAGAGCATAATGCTTCTGTCATAAATGAACATACACATATTTGTTTTCATATTCTTTTTCACCATAAATTACTACAAGATATTGAATATAATTGCTTCTGCTATACAGTATAAATTTGTTTACCTATTTTATATATATTCGTTAGTATCTGCAAATCTTGAACTCCCAATTTATCCTTTCTCACCGCCTTATCCCATGGTAAGCATAAGTTTGTTTTCTATGTTTGTGAGTCTGTTTCTGTTTGTAAATGAGTTTGTCTTTTTTCTAGATTCCACATGTAAGTGATATAATATGGTATTTTTCTTTCTCTTTCTGGCTTACTTCACTTAGAATGACATTCTCCAGCTCCCTCCATGTTGCTGCAAATGGCATCACTTTATTATTTTTTTGTGGCTGTGTAGCATTCCTTTGTGCGTGCATATATATATACACAAAAACTTCTTTATCCAGTCATCTGTCGATGGACATTTACATTGTTTCCATGTCTTGGCTATCATGAATAGTGCTGCTGTGAAGATTGGGGTGCATGTGTCTTTTAGAATTAAGTTTCACTCTGGATATATGCCCAGGAGTGGGATTGCTGGTTCATATGGTAAGTCTATTTTTAGTCTTTAGAGGAATCTCCACACTATTTTCATAACAACTGCACCAAACTACACTCCCACCAACAGTGTAGGAGGGTTCCCTTTTCTCCACAGCCTCTCCAGCATTTATCATTTGTGGACTTCTGAACGATGGCCATTCTGACTGGTGTGAGGTGACACCTCATTGTAGTTTTGATTTTCATTTCTCTGATACTTTGTGATATTGAGCATTTTTTCATGTGCCTGTTGGCCATTTGTATGTCTTCATTGGAGAATTACTTGTTTAGTTCTTCTGCCCATTTTTGGATTGGGTGGCTTATTTTTTTCCTATTAAGTTGTATGAGCCGTTTATATATTCTGGAAATTAAGCACTTGTCAGTCTCATCTTTTGCAAATATTTCATCTGATTCCATATGTTGTCTTTTGTTTTCCTTATTGTTTCCTTTGTGTTATGAAAAAGCTTGTAAGTTTTATTAGGTCCTATTTGTTTATTTTTGCTTTTATTTCTATTGCTTGGGTAGACTGCCCTAGGAGAACATTGCTGAGATGTATGTCAGATAATGTTTTGTTGATGTTTTCTTCTAGAAGGTTTATAGTTCTTGTCTTATGTTTAAGTCTTTAAGCCATTTTGAGTTTATTTTTGTGTATGGTGTAGGGGAGTGTTCTAGCTTCATTGATTTACATGCTGCTGTCTAGTTTTCCCAACACCATTTACTGAAGAGACTGTCTTTATTCCATTGTATATTCTTACCTCCTTTGTTGAAGATTAATTGACCAAAAGATTGTGGGTTTATTTCTGGGCTCTCTATTCTGTTTCATTGATCCATATGTCTATTTTTGTTCCCAAACCATGCTGTTTTGATTACTGTAGCTCTGTAGTATTGTCTGAAGTCTGGGAGGGTTATTCCTCCACCTTCATTCTTTCTCTTCTCTATTGCTTTGGTAATTCTGGGTCTTTTGTGATTCTATATAAATTTTAGGATTCTTTGTTCTAATTCTGTGAAAAATATCCTGGGTAATTTGATAGGGTTCTAATTAAATCTGTAGTTTTCTTTGGGTAGTATGTCCATTTTAACAATATTAATTCTTCCAATCCAAGAACATGGATATCCTTCCATTTCTTTAAGTTATCTTTAATTTCCTTACTCAATATATTGTAGTTCTCCTCATATAAGTTTTTCACTTCCTTCATCAGATTTATTCCTAAGTATTTTATTTTTATGGATGCAATTTTAAAAGGGATTGCTTTTTCACTTTCCTTTTCTGATAATTCATTGTTAGTGTAAAGAAATGCCACTGATATCTGTATGTTAACCTGGTGTCCTGCTACCTTGCCAAATTCTCTTATTAGCTCTAGTAGTTTTTGTGTGGAGCATTGAGGGTTTCCTGTATATAGTATCATGTCATTCACATATACCTCTTCTCTTCCAATTTGGATCATTTTAATTTCTTTTTCCTTTCTAATTTCTATGACTAACACTTCCAATACTATATTGAATAGAAGTGGTGAGAGTGGGCATCCTTTTCTTGTTCCAGATTTTAATAGAAAGGCTTTCAGCTTTTACCATTGAGTATTATGCTGGCTGTAGGTTTGTCATAAATAACTTTTATTACATTGAGATATGTTCCCTTTATACCCACTTTTGTAGGAGATTTTATCATAAATGGGTGTTGAATTTTACCAAATGCTTTTCCTGCATCTGTTGAGATGATCATGTGAAGTTTGCCCTTTCTCTGTTTGATGTAGTATATCATGTTGATTGATTTGTGTATGTAGAAAGATACTTGTGTCTCTGGGATGAACCCCCTTTGATCATGGTGTATGATATTTTTTATGTGTTGTTGGATTCTGTTTGCTAATATTTTGTTGAGGATTTTTGCATCTATGTTCATCAACGATATTAGCCTATAGTTTTCTTTTTTTGGTAGTGTCTTTGTGCGGTTTTGGTATCAGGGTGATGGTGGATTCATAGAATGAGTTTGGGAGTACTCCCTCCTTTTCAATCTTTTGGAAGAGTTAGAGAAGGATCAGTATGAGCTCTTCTATTTATTTTTGATAGAATTCCCCATTGAAGCCGTCAGGCCCTGGACTTTTGTTTGCAGAGAGACTTTTTATTGCTGATTCTATTTCACTTTTAGTGATTAGTGTGTTCAAGTAATGTATGTGTTCTTGATTCAATTTTGGTGGACTGTATGTTTCTGGAAACTTGTCCATTTCTTCTATGTTGTCCAATTTATTGCCCCATAGTTGTTCATAGTATCCTCATGACTTTCTGCATTTCTGTGGTATTGGTTGTAATCTCTCAATTTTCCTTTCTTACTTTGTTTATTTGTGCTCTCTCTTTTCTCTTCTTGGTGAGCCTGGACAGAGGGTTGTCAGTATTGTTTACTCTTTAAAAAAAAAACCACTCTTGGTTTGATTGATTTTTTTCTATTTTTTAAAAATCTCTATTTTATTTCCTCCTTGATCTTTATTATTTCTTTCCTTCTGCTGACTTTAGGTTTTGTTTGTTCTTCTTTATCTAATTATTTTCAGTGGTAGGTTAGGTTGTTTATATAAGATTGTTCCTGGTATTTAAGAAAGGCTGTATCTCTATGCATTTCCCTCTTAGGACTGCTTTTGCAGCATCCCATAGATTTTATGTGGTTGTGTTTTCACTGTCATTTGTTTCAAGGTATTTTAAAATTTCTTCTTTGATTTCATTGTTAACCCACTTGTTTTTTTTTTTAGTAGCATGTTGTTTAGTCTCCATACTGTGTTTTTTTCTCATGTGTTTTTCTCTGATTGATTTCTAGTTTCATGCTATTGTGGTCAGAGAAGATGCTTGAAATAATTTCTATCCTCTTAAATTTGTTGAGGCTTCTTTTGTGCCCGAATATGTGATCTATCCTAGAGAATGTTCCATGAGCACTTGAAAATAATGTATATTCTGTTTCTAGGGGGATGTAATGTCCTAAAAATATCAACTAAGTCCAACTGTTCTATTGTGTCATTTAGTATCCCCATTGCCTTATTGATGTTCTGTCTGGAAGACCTGTCCAATTATGCTAATGGGGTATTAACGTTTCCTACTATGGTTGTGTTCCCATCAATGTCTCTCTTTTGTATCTATTAGTATTTCCTTTATATATTTAGATGCTTCTATCTTGGGCACATATATGTTAACAATTGTAATATCCTCATCTTGTATTGCTCCTTTGATCATTATATGGTGTTCTTCTTTTTCTTTCTTTATGGCCTTTGTTTTAAAGTCCATTTTGTGTGATATGAGTATTTCTACTCCTGCTTTCTTGTCATTTCCATTTGCATGAAATATCTTTTTCCAACCTCTCACTTTCAGTCTATGTGTGTCCTTCATTCTGAAGTGGTTCTCCTGTAGGCAACATATTGTAGAATTTTGTTTTATTATCCAATCAGCCACTCTTTATCTTTTGACTGGAGAATTTAGTCCATTGACATTCATAGTAATTATTGAAAGATATGTGTTTATCGCCATTTTGAACTTTGTTTTCTGGTTGATTTGGTATTTCTTATTTGTTCTTTTCTTTTCCTTTTTGTTTTCCTTTTTGTGGTTGGATAATTTTCTTTTGTATTAGCTTGGTTTCTTTTTGGTTTTTGTGACTGTATTGCATCCTTTCGATTTGTGGTTATCCTGTTTTTCAAGTGTGTTAACCCCTTACTATATCTTTTTGCTTTAGACTGGTAGTCACATAAGCTCAAACACATACTAAAAAGAATGAAGAAAAAACCAAGACAGAGAAAAGAGAATCTATATTTTCTTCCTCCCCTCTCCCACTTTTTACAATTTTGATATCCTTTTTTTTACATCTTCCTTTTTTTTCTCTTCTAGTTCATTGTAGTTATCACATTTCCGATTATACTTTTCTCATTTCTATAGATTCCTACTTCTTTTCTACTTAGAGTAGACCTATCAATATTTATTTTTGGATAGGTTTAGTCTTGCTGAATTATTTTAGTTTTTGCTTGTGTGTGAAATTCTTTATCTTTTCTTTTACTCTAAAGGATAGTCTTGCCAGATAGAGTATCCAGGGTTGCACCTTTTTCTCATTCGGGACTTTGAGTATATCTTGCCACTCCATTCTGGCCAGCAGTGTTTGTGTAGAGAAATCAGATGAAAGACTTATGGGGGTTTCCTTGTAACTATTTGTTTTCCTCTTGCTGGCTTTAAAATCCTTTCCTTATCTTTATTTTTGGCCATCTGAATTATAATATATCTTGGTGTAGGTCTGTTTGGGTTCTTCTTGTTTGGGACCCTCTGTGCCTCCTGTACATGGATATCTGTTTCCTTCTTTAGGTCTGGAAAATTTTCACTCTTGATTTCTTCAAATACCTTTTCAATCCCTTATTCTCTTTCTTCTCTTTCTGGGGCCACTAGTATGTGTAGATTGGCACACTTTATATTATCCCATAGGTCCCTTCTATTGCATTCATTGGTTTTTACTTGTTTTTCTCTCTGCTGTTCTGATTGGGTGACTTCTGTTAGTCTGTCTTCTAAGTCACTTCTTTGTTTCTCTGCATTATCTAGTCGGCTTTTGACTAGCTTTGGCTTGGTTCTTATGTCATCCATCTAGTTTACTGTTTTTTATTGGCTCCTCTTTATAGTTTTTTTCTATTTCATTTTCATAGTATTCTCTGTCTCTATTCATAGTCTCTCCTATTTCCTTCAGTGCTTTTATCACCCCCTTCTTGAAGTCATGATCTAGCAGACTGTCAAGGTCTATCTCATTGTTCTTTCAGGGGACTTTTCTTGTTCTTTTAATTGGGAATGGTTCCTCTGCTTCTTCATTTTACTTACATTTCTTTGGCTCTAAGAAGTATCAGTTATCTACTGTGGTCTTGAAGGGCTGATTTATTTTTTGTTTCTTTGTTTTTATTTAAAGTGGGAGCATTCCTGTGTAGACTTTGTGCATCTAGTAGTTTTTTTTTTGCAAGGGGCCCTCTGTGCCAATTTCCATTAGCTCTGCCTGCCAAGCTGCTGACACTTTCTTCTCCTAACCTCAGAAGATTTGCTTCTGTCCCCACTGTCCTCCCAGTTGGAGAGGAGTCTTCCCAGCATGAGGTTGCCTTTCCTATTATGTCACTCCCTCCGTGCAGGACCAGTCCTGTACTGATTGTTACTTTTTTCTTTCTTTTTATTTTTTTCTCTTACTGAATTTTGCAAGAATCCTCCTGTATTTTGAAGCATTGTTCTATGCAAACATAAGATGGTATAAAGATAAGGCTCCCAAGGCAAAATAAATAAAAGCAAAAATAAACAAATGTTATCTAATCAAACCTATAAGCTTTTGCAAAGCGATGAAAACCATAAATAAAATGAAAAGGCAACCTATAGACTGGGAGAAAATATTTGCAAAAGATGCAACTAACAAGTGCTTCATTTCCAAAATATACAAACAGCACATACAACTCCATATCAAATACACAAGCAAACAAATCAAAAAATGGGCAGAAAACCTAAATAGACATCTCTCCAAAGAAGACATACAATTGGCCAACAGACACATGGAAAGATGCTCCACATCTCTAATTATTAGAGACATGCAGATCGAAACTACAATGAAGTATCATCTCACACTGGTCAGAATGGTCATTATTAAAAAGTCTACAAACAATAAATGTGGGAGAAAGTGTGGAGACAAGGGAACTAGAAATATGAATTGACTTAGAGATTATCGTACTAAATGAAATAAGTCAGAGAAGGACAAATACTATATTATGGCACTTATATGTGGAATCTAAAAATACCACAAATGAACCTATTTACAAATCAGAAATGGACTCACAGACATAGAAAACAAACTTATGGTTACCAAAGGGGAAAGGGGCAAAGGGATAAATTTAAGGGTATGGGATTAACAGATACACACCACTATATACAAAAAGATAAACAACAAGAATTTACTGTATAACACAAGGAACTTTATTCAATATCTTGTAATAGACTATAATGGAAAATGATCTGAAAAATAGATATAGATAGATAGATAGATAGATAGATAGATAGATAGATAGATATCAATATATAAGTGATTAAATTTGCTATACACCTGAAACTAATTCAATATTGTAAATCAACTGTAGTTCAATTGAAAAACAATTTAATGGCTTAAAACAACAATAATTTATTACTTTTCAAAATTCTGTGAGCTGATTGGATAGTTCTGATTCATATTGTATGTGAGCTAGACTACATCTTTTCAATAAATTTCTCTTTATTTTAAAAAATTTTTAATTTTTATACAATCTTTAAAAGTTATTATACATTTACAGTTATCACAAAATACCAGCTATATTCTCCATGTTATACAATACATCCTTGAATTTGTCTTCACCCAACTGTTTATACCTCCCACTTCCCAACCCCTAGTGGGTAACTGCTAGTTCTCTATATCTGTGAGTCTGTTTCTTTCTTGTTATGTTCACTAGTTTGTTGTGTTTTTTAGATTCCACATAGAGGTAATGTCATACAGTATTTGTCTTTCTCTGTCTGACTTTTTTCACTTGGCATTATACCCTCCAAGTCTGTCCATGTTCCTGCAAATGGGAAAATTTCATGTTTATTTTTATGGCTGAGTAGTATTCCTGTGTGTGTGTGTGTGTGTGTGTGTGTGTGTGTGTGTGTATGCCACATCTTTACCCATTCATCTGTTGATGGACACTTAGGTTACTTCCATATCTTGGCAACTGTAAATTATGCTACTGTGAACACTAGGGTGTATATATCTTTTCAAGTTAGTGTTTTTGGTTTTTTTCAAATATATATACCCAGGTGTAGAATTGCTGGGGCATATGGTAACTCTATTTTTAGTTTTTTGAGAAACCTCCATACTGTTTTCCACAGTGCCCGCACCAATGTATTTTCCCACTGACATTCCCTTTTTTCCACATCCTCTCCACATTTATTTGTCTTCTTGATAATAGCCATTCTGATAGGTGTGAGGTGATGTCGCATTGTGGTTTTGATTTGCATTTCTTGGGTTAGCCATGTCGAACATCTTTTCTTGAGCCTGTTGACCATATGCACTTCCTCTTTGGAAAATGTGTATTCAGTTCTTCTGTCCATTTTTAATCGGATTTTTTATGTTGAGTTGTGTGAGCTGTTTATATAGGTTGGATATTAATCCCTTATCAGTCATATCATTTGCAAATATTTCTCTCATTTAGTAGGTTGTATCTTTGCTTTGTTGGTGGTTTACTTTGCTGTGCAAAAGCTTTTAAGTTTAGTTAGGTCTCATTTGTACCATTTGTTACTTTTGCTTTTATTTCCTTTAGTTTAGGAAATGGATCCAAAAAATATTGCTGTGACTTATGTCAAAGAGTGTTCTACCTATGTTTTCCTCTGTGAATTTTATTGTATACAGTCTTATATTTAGGACTTTAATCCATTTTGAGTTTATTTTTGTTTATGCTGTTAGAGAATGTTCTACCTTCATTCTTTCACATATAGTGTCAAGTTTTCCCAGCACCACTTATTAAAGAGGCTGTCTTTTCTCCATGGCATATTCTTGCTTCCTTTATTGTAGCTTAATTGACCACAAGTGCATGGGTTTATTTCTGTGCTTTCTATCTTGTTCCATTGATCTGTGTATCTGTTTTTGTACAAGTACCATATTGTTTTGATTATTGTGGCTTTATAGTATAATCTGAAGTCAGGAAATGTCATTCCTCCAGGTCTGTTCTTCTTTCTCAAGATTGTTTTGGCTATTTAGGGCATTTTGTGTTTCCATACAATTTAAAAAATTATTTGTTCTAGTTTTATGAAAAATGCCCTTGGTATTTTGATAGGGATTGCATTGAATCTGTAGATTGCTGTGCATAGTATAGTCATTTTAACAGTATTGATCTTCCGATCCAAGAACACAGTATGTCTCTGTGTTGTCTTCAATTTCTTTCACTAGTGTCTTACAGTTTTGGGAGTTCAGGTCTTTTGCCTCCTTAAGAAGGTTTATTCCCAGGTGTTTTATTCTTTTTGATACAATGGTAAATAGAGTTGTTCCCTTAGTTTCTCTTTCTGATACTTCGTTGTTAGTGTATAGAAATGCAACAGATTTCTGTGTATTAATTTTGTATCCTGCAGCTTTACCAAATTCATTAATGAGCTCCAGAGTTTTCTGGTAACATCTTTGGGATTTTCTACAGATAGTACCATGTCATCTGCAGACAGTGACAGTTTTACTTCTTATTTTCCAATTTGGATTCCTTTTCTTTCTTTTTCTTCTTTGATTGCTGCAGCCAGGATTTCCAAAACTATGTTGAATAAAACTGGTAAGAGTAGGCATTGTTGTTTTGTTCCTAATCTTAGAGGAAATGCTTTCAGCTTTTCACCTTTGAGTATGATGTTAACTGTGGGTTTATCATATATGGCCTTTATTATGTTGTGGTACGTTCCCTCTATGCCCACTATCTTTAGAGTATTATCATAAATGGATGTTGAATTTTATCAAAAGCTTTTTCTGCATCTATTGAGATGATCACATGGTTTTTATTCTTTAATTTGTTAATGTAGTGTATCACATTGATTTATTTGCAGATATTTAAAAATTCTTGAATCACTGGGATAAATCCCACTTGATCATAGTGTATGACCCTTTCAATGTATTCTTGGATTCAGTTTGCTAGGTTTAAAAAAAGATTTTTGCATCTATATTTATCAGTGATATTGGCCTGTAATTTTCTTGTTTGTGTGATATCTTTGTCTGATTTTGGTATCAGGGTGATGGACTTCATAGAATGCTTTCAGATGTGTTTCTTCCACTGCAATTTTTTAGAACAGTTTGAGAAGGATAGCTGTTAACTCTTCTCTAAATGTTTGGTAGAATTCACCTGTGAAACCATCTGGTCCTGGACTTTTGTTTGGTGGGAATTTTGAAATTATTGCTTCAATTTCAGTACTGGTAAATGTTTTGTTCATATTTTCTATTTTTTTCCTGGTTCAGCCTTGTGAGATTGTACCTTTCTAAGAATTTGTCCATTTCTTCTAGGTTGTACATTTTATTGGCATTGAGTTGTTCATGGTAATCTCTTATGATCATTTGTATTTCTGTGGTGTCAGTTGTAACTTCTCCTTTTTCATTTCTGATTTTATTGATTTGGTCCCTCTCCCTTTTTTCTTGATGAGTCTGGCTAAAGTTGTATCAACT